TCCCAGAGGCGCACGGTTCAAATCCACCAGATGCTCTGCCGGGGAAGGAGGGACAATCTCCTCCTGTACCCGTCAGATCTGATTTGACTGTACATGCACACAAAAATAATAAGAAATAGCTATGCATTATTAACTAACTTTTTAAAAATTTTAACAAATATTGATTGTTAAATATACAATTATTTATATAAACACTAGATGGAGTTTAAAGCATGCCTCAGTGGACATCTGATATTTTTTCAGTCCAGTACTCTGGCCATTGACCATAAAGATTTTTTTTCTTCCAGGAACAGACACAAAGACCATTCTGGACCAATGAGACTTATAATGATGCCAAGAAGTTCTATAAAAATGTTGAAGAAAAGACATGCTTTTCAGCTACAGCTACTGGGAAGAAATTATAAGCCTAAAGTTGCTGCAGCCATCTTGCCAAAGAGAGGGCTCTTGGCCAAGAATGAGACTGAGAAAGCAGACAACAGAAAAATGAGGAGTGGACAAATACAGCCTGGTATCCAAGGTTGAGCCCTGGTTCCATGCAGGCCTGAGAGCTGTCTATCCACACCCTTTCCACTGTCACAGAAGGCAGTGTAATACGAAAGGAAAGAATTGGGTGGCTTGGGTTCCAACTCTAACTTTACCACTTAGTATCTGTATGAATTAGGGCATATCATTTAACCTCCTCCTCATCTTTAAAATAGGATAGTAACAGTTCCTAGCTTAAAAGAGAAAGTGAGTTAATATATATATCAAGCATATTCATATTTACATATAAAACACATACCATATTTCTATATTAAAGGTTCATCTTTACTGAGACATGTAAAGAATAAAAGAAATAAGTGGTGGCTTTTGCTATTATTAGGTGCTCTGGTAGCCAAGTGGTTAGTATTTATCCTGCCAATCAAAGGCAAGTGGTTCAAATCCACCAGCTGTTTTCAAGGAGAAAGGTGGCAATCTCCTCCCTTGTGACTTAAAGCCTCTGAAAAGCCACTGGAGGGTCTGCTATGATCGGTTCTAACTCCATGGCACAACCAAACTACAACACTGTTATTATTAGCAATTCCCTTTTTCCATAAGGCAGTCTGAGTAAAAGTTTCTGACAATTTCAAGAGTTAGGATCTTAATTCAACCACCCAAAATAGAAACCATGTAAAACCAACCACCTTCATGAAACATGCCTAACAAAACCATGAAAGTTCTGAGTATCGGGAAAATTAGCAAAATCATTACAAAGTAAATGGTAAAAATATAAAAACATAGTCCACAAACTAAAAAAAATTAGGATTTTTAAAAATCCTGTTTAAAAGAAAACAAATGAAATAAATTAGGAATTACATTATCCAATCATAACACTGAAGATTATTTTAAATTTCATATCCAGTGTTGGCAAGTGACTCATGGACTGCCGGTGAGAATGTAAAACTCTTATTTACTTGGTAAAACAATTCTGGATGGCAATTCAGTGCTAATAAAAATGAACATATCCCTGACACAATAATTCTTCCAAGAATTTATCTTAAGAGAAAATTAAGGGTGTGTGCAAACATCTTCCCTAATTTTTTTCACTGACTTACATTTTTATACAGAAACATTGGAAAGTATATGTCTAAAACATTGGGAGTTCACGAAATCCACACATTCTAACACTGCACAGTCAAAAATGATACTGGACAATATATAGTAGTTATCTGTATTTATTTTTAAGAAAATTTATGATTATCAACTGAAATATGTAATTTATAAAACCTAAATCCATGCATTCTAACACTGCACAATCAAAAATGCTAATGGACAATATGTAACTTGTGTATTAAATTTTAAGAAAATTTATGATTATTAACTAAAATATGCAAGTTACAAAACCATGTATGAGGGAGTCCTGGTGGAGAAGTGTGTAAAGTACTGGGTCACTAGCATAAAGTCGGTGGTTCAAATCCACCAGCACTCCACAGGAGAAGAATGGACAGCTTCCCCTCATAATACAGCCTCAGAAGCCTGGCGAGGGTCACTATAAACTGGAACTGAATCAAAGGCAGTAGTTTTTCATTAAAACTATGTACACAATATGAACCTATTTTGATTGCATCAATATGTACATAGAGACATGGGAAAATATTTAATATAATACAAATCAAATGAGAATGAATCTGTGGCTAATTGAATCATGAGTGTTTTCATTTATTAAGTGGTTGTTTTGTCTGGTTTATATATTTGTATTGCATTCTTTCATCAATGAAATTTAAGTGCTTTTAAATAAAAAATACTTTAAATTCATAGAAAGTCATACCAAAAGAAAGTCACTGTGTTGAGTAGATTCCAACTCATACAATTCTCTAGCAAGACTGCAAGTTGTTATGGAAAACAGTTTGTCACACCTTTCTTCTGTAGAGAGGCTGGTTATTTCACATTACTAACTTTTCAGTTAGCAGTCAAGCACTTTAACCACCATGTCACAAGGACCCCTTCAAAAGTCACCCTACTGCTGCTGAGCCTCCTCCTTCCCTTCTCCTCGCCCTCAGTATAGCCTGCCCCTCTAGCAGGTTTCTGAGACAGTAAATCTCATGGAAGAAGATTATCTATTTTTCTCCCTTGAAGCAGCTGATAAACTTGAACTGCCAGGAAGGCGCTGTCTATGCAGTGCAACTCTATTGACTATGACCCCAGAGCTCACACATCACCTGCCAAGAACGTGGGACAAACATTTGGAGCATGCAAGTGTTAAACAGATCACAGATGACAAGAGAGCCAAAACAGCCGACTCTGTGACAAAGTCTAATTCTAGAAGAAACGAGATCTCAGGAATACGCGCAGTGCGTAATTACTGAGATGCATTGGTGAAGACACTGGAGATGCAGACAGCAACTTCAAGCAGGAGATGCCTCCTGAAGCCTCTACCTGCCACATACTCTACTTTCCATCCAGGAGGTACTCTTCCACTTGGGCTTATCTGGGCTACTTTATCCACACATGCCCTCTGTACCAAGCATAGCTGATGCTCCAAAGACCCAAAAGAAAACAGAACTTATATCCAAGGGCAGATATTCTCATCCTTTTGGTGTCTTACCACTCTAAACTAGGCTCTACAGGCCCTGTTCATTTGCAATTTTTTCCCAAGTAAGAAAATGGCAAGCCTGGTGACTTGCCCCGACCCCCATGTAAGAGCGATCTCACATTCACAATTGTAGTCATACACTTGGCTTTAATAATAAAATAAGGTAGTGTTTACCAATTCATGAGCGCTTGCATGTTCTGTGAGGGAGATTACATTTTCTTTTCATTTATTTTGGGCATATTAACAGCTGGTGACCTAGATTAAGAAATGATTTAATATGTGAAAAGGCAGACCATATCACTAAATTCCTTTTGTGGTTGCAAAGTAGATTTAATGAAAAGCTTCAGGGAGAAGATTCAAGTAACTGCCTACAATAGAAGCTGGAGAAGGAAAAACTACAATCGTCTAAAAGTATGTAATAAAAAAATGACTGGAAGACCTGGGGTAAAAACCAAAATCAGCAGGTTCCTGGCAACTTCGTGGGCAAGTAATCAGGAACTGGAAGGAAGCAGGAAGCACTGCTAATTCAGCAGTGGAAGGAGGGAGATCATGTTAGTTCAAGAAGAGCTTGGGTAGATATTAAAAGAAATACAATCCTCTTACTGCATTTGAGAGGGTGTGTGTGTGGAGGGAGAGGCTAGAGGCAACCTCTGGGCCCTGGGGATGCAGCAAAAGGATCAGAGCCCTTTTCTACTTCCATCTTTGAGGTCTGCTTGAAGTGGAGGTCAGCCTGCCTGAGACTAGGTGTAAAGAGGAAAATTAATTGGCATAGTGACTTTTAGTAAAACGCTAAACCAAACACTCAGCATCACAGCGATGGAAAATGCAGTCACATGGAAGAGAACAAGTGATACTAATCATGGGTTCATTAGCTGGTGTTCATTTTCAAGTACAATGCTCCAGCTACAATAGGCATGCCCTTGGCTCAGACCCAAATGAAGATCTCGGTGCTGTCAAATGCAAGCAAGTACTCAGGTAAGCCAGGCAGGTTCAGCACCTAGTTAGTACTTTAGTTCTTCACTTGGTCGAGTGTAAACCTTGGTTTAATTTCTGCCCATCTCTGAGGGGATCAAAACTAATTACTGTGAGAAATTTATTCAGCAGCTTGGGAAAAAACCAAACCACACCAAATCCCTCCCCCAGTAATAGCACCAAAAAGGGTAAACTACCAACCCCAAACGCAAATTTTGCAGCGCAGTACAGAGATTTTTATAAGGCAATAAAACACTCCCTGCTTTGCAGAAATGTACAGAGAAATGTCCTATTCCAGTCATACTTACTGCTGACCTTCTAAAGGACACACATACATTAAAAAAAAAAAAAACACCCGAACATGTGTGCATCCAGACATCTGTTTTGAACTCCGTGATTCTGTATACACTGCACAGCCGATTATCATGATCCAGCCTTATTGGTCCAAACCGATGGTCCTGGACCATCTGGGCTACCAAACCGATGGTCCTGGACCATCTGGGCTACCTCCAGCATTTCTGCTGCACCGAATGCCAGAGTTACCCAGGAGCCGCAATCGGTCCGGCTCTCTCTGTACTGCCTGAGGGCGAGCTGGGCGCGGGCTCTAGGAGCCTCGGGGCGACCGGATGCACCTGCCCGCTCGCGCCGCGCTGCGCCCTGGGAGCGGGGCTCACGGAGTCGCCCCGCCGCCTCCCCGGGTCTCAGAACGGCGCGCGGGGCCGAGGGGGCCTGGGAATTAGCTGGGATGGGATCTGCGGGTCTCTGGTCGCGCGCTCCCGCCTCCCGGCCCTCGCAGCGCTGGGGTGCCGCCTTTGCTGCAGTGGCCGGGGATGCAGAGCTTGGCCCCCGCGCGACCCGGGCCCCAGAGCCGCGCACCGCTCCCGCAGACCCTGGCGCCGCAGCCGCAGCCCCGCCGACTTCCGCGCCCCTCCGGAGGGTGCTGCCTGACCAGCCACGCCCGCCGCCCTCTTCTGACCTTTTCCTGCGCGCGGTTGAGTCGCTTCTGGACGTTCTTGGCGAAGATGCCCGTCTTGATGTCGGCCATGGTTGCGGGGCCGGGAGGCGGCGAGGAGCGGGCGGCAGCCGGCGGCAGCGGGGAGGCGCGGGAGGAGGAGCAGGAGCGGCGGAGGCCCGCGCGAGGGAGAGGGGCGGGGGGGCGCTTAAAGCGACAGAGCTGGGGCGGCACGCACCGGGGAGACCTGGAGGAGGGTGCGGAAACCGCGCCTGGAAAGCCGCAGCCAAGATGCCCTGCGAGCGCTTCTCCAGGGGAGAAAGGCCAGGCCGGGGCAGCTATCTGGCAAGAGCTGGGTCCTCTTAAATCGGGGTGTGCGTTGGGGAAATGAGAGGAACCCTGGTTCTAAACAGCAGGAAATGGAGCCGAATGGGCAAAGGAATTCATGGAAAGGTCAGTGGCCAATGGGGTTGGAGCTGTCTCTCCTGAGGCTGCCAGGCTTACTCAGCCTTTGCAACCTGACTGGGGCTGGAACCCCTCACCTTACAACTGGCGAGTTCAAGAGGAGAGCCCTCGAGGGGTTCTGCCCTCAACGGACTTTTATTTCTTTGCTGGGGGGCATGACTGGAAGACAGATTAAATCAGTGCAAGGCGCTGGAGCTGCAATGCAGCTGCTGGTTGACAAGACAGAATGAGGACTCTAATAAGTTAAAGATAAGCTCTAAAGTAGCAATGAGTAGACTCACCACGCATAGCGACTCTATGACCAACAGATCGGAGCCTGCGCCATGGACAGGATCTCCGCCTTGCGCAAGCCAATTGTGGTACCCAGTGTGTCAGTCCATCTTGTTGAGGGGCTTTTGCTGATCCTTCACCTTTCCTAGAATGACATCTTAGAACAAGATTTGGGGCAGAAGGGAAGTCCACTTTAAGCAGGGCCAGCTCCTTTCAGAGCTGTTTTTTGTCCAATGAGCCCCAGTAACACAATGCTAACGAGTTTAACAGCTAACTAAGGATTGTGGTTCAAACTCACACATAGTCAACAGAAGTTGGAGTTTACTCCTTTTTTTTTACTCACAGACGTTGGGCATGTTATCAGGAGGGGCTGGTTCTTGGAAAAAGACATCATTCAGGGGAAAGTAGAGGGTCCCCAGAAAGGATGTCCCTCTACAAGGTGAATTGACATGTTGACTACAACAGTGGGCTTGAAAAGATGAGAGGATGGTGCAGTATAAAGCAAGGTTTAGATTTGTTGCTCTTAATGTTGCTATGAGTCATAACACAACTAATACATATGCATACACTATTCTCACTCATTCACACTTTGCCATTGAATGGGAACCAATTCTTGCCAGAAGTAAGAATTAGATGTAAATGTGTCCTACTCCTATCAGAGCTCTTGAGAGATCTGTCCAGTGGACAAACAATTGTATTTAGTTCTGATAGTGAGAATGGGAAAATGCGGGAAGTTCCAGCAACCAGGTGGTAGAGGTGAAGCACAGGCCTGCGAGCCCAAGTTAGCAGTCTCTGGCACATCTGACATGCACAGGTCTGTTGGTAACGCACAGTAGATTAACGCTTTGTGTGGCCCCTACCCTGGGCTCTAGAGCGGCCCTGTGACTGTCTCTCACAAGTAATATGTGCAGAAGTAATGACAGGATACCAATTCCAGGACTGTGGCTTGGAAAAGGTGGGTATTTTTTGCACTCTGGGGAGCCTTGTACAGCTATGCAAGAAGTTCAGCAATCAAAAACTCTGTGAAGAAAAAAAAAAAAAAACTCTGGGAAGAGACCTCATGGAAAAGGTAAAGCCTCTTGGGTTACTTAGAGAAAGGAATGAGAGAGACACAGATCTCCCAGCATCCCAGCTTCCAGGTAGCCCACTGGTTGAATGTTGTTGTTGTTGTTATGTGCCATCGAGTCGCTTGGGACACATAGCGATCCTATGTACAACAGCCCTAACCCTGCTCTATCCTGTGCCAATCTCATTGCCTCTGACAAACCCATCCCGATT